ATAGAAAATCATCTGGAAAAATATTTCTTGAATGTGTTAAGATCTTCTCTTTGAATTTCTAACCAACATAAGGGAAAGAAGTGTATGAATCACAAAGTAACCTCAAGTTGTCCTAGATTCCAGAACAACTTTTATGGAGGGAAAAGCTTTTGAATCTTCAGAATATAAGAACTTTGTAAAATATTGGCATAACCCTCTGAGAAAATAAACAGAATCCTTTGTGCTGTTAGATTTTCTGTCTGTCTGTTACTAATTCCTATTTTATCTGGTTGGCAAAAGCAGCTAGAAAGGTGAGCGGAACTGGATGCAGGCTGTTGTAAATGCATCCTTAAATGAAGGGGTAGTACCTCCTACCTTGAAATAGGTGATGATGTTTCCTATCTTCAAGAAATTCCTATCCTCAAGCAGCCCATTTAATCATGGCTTGAGCATGGCTTGCTCAGGAATTCTGGGAGTTGAAGTCCATAATTCATAAAAGGGCCATAGTTGCCCACCCCTGCCTTAAGGGAACAGCTCCCAATTCTAACTTAACTAACTCAATTCCCATTACCTATATACTGTCTGGACAGCACAGGTCTTTTATATCATTGACCATGGGATCTTCCCATTTGGGAGAGAGACAGTTTAAGCCTTCAACAACTCTGTTATGTTGCAGATGTCCATGCAGATTCTCTGTTATCCAGGTCATGGTTGTCCCAAAGGTGCTTCTTCAAGAGGCACAGAGACTTTCTGTTTTTTCTTTGAAGACATTTTCCTTCTCACCCAAGAAGCTACTTGGATGATAAATGATATGGTTGCCTCTTGAAAAAGCACCTTTGGGACTTACGTTGTAGATGTTCTCCCTACTACTTTTCAACATCTATATGAAGCAATTGGGAAAGATCATCTGCCAACATTAGTAGACATCTTCAGTATACTGATGTTATACACTTGTATATCTCCCAGGCAGAGAGAAGATGCCATGGACCAAGTGGAGGCTGTGGCCAGGAGGGCCTTTGCACCATTAGATTTTGCTTGTGAGCCTTTCCTGAATCACGAGGTTTTATATTGCTGTATTTCATAGGTGGATTTTTGCAATGAATTCTTTCTGGAGCTGTCTTTGAAGTCAACACAGAAATTGTTCTCTGTGTTTTCTGTTTGGTCAGTGGCAAGTTGTGCCTGCACTTTGCTAAGAGAAAGACAGTTTAGGTGTCAGTGTGAGTGGCTGTTCCTGGACATGCGGGTGGGAATTTGAGTGGTTGGCGCTTGGTGCTTTTTGTGCAGATGTGTTGGATGTGGATGACGGCAGGTGACGAGGTGAAGGGGAGTGAAATGGGACCGTGAAGCAAATGGGAAAACGGGGGATTCATTGTGAAGCCTGAATGAGAAAAGAGGAAGTGAAACTGCAATTGTAATGGAGTGAAAGAGGTAAAAGCAAGGCCCCTCCCCCAGTTCTATCTGTAGCAAGCATGATATGTCCCAATTCCTAAGCTGGAAAAGCTTAGGTTTCTATCTGGATGGGTGACTACATGTGAGCGTTGTCTGATGTGGAGGATTCATAAAAGCGCAGATTCAACATCTCCGCTCATGTTTTTGAGACAAATAACATGATTTTCTCTTATTTTTCTTATACACTGATGCCTTGCAAAATCGGATATATTCTCACAGCTCTCTCTCCCCAATTCTGCAATCTCTGCTACAAGAACTCAAAATCCTCTCTCCCCCGCTTTGCTATTCTACCGTATCCATAGATGATGTCTTTCCCTTTTGAGAGGGAAACCAGTGGTGGGATTCAATTTTTTTTACTACCAGTTCTGTGGGCGTGGCTTGGTGGGCGTGGCAGGGGAAGGATACTATAATATCTCCACTCACAAGTCTCCATTTGCCAGTTCTCCGAACTACTCAAAATTTCCGCTTCCGGTTCTCCAGAACTGGTCAGAACCTGCTGAATACCACCTCTGAAGGAAATGTACTATAATAATGTCCTTTTCCTGTATCAGAGAATCTTTAATATGAGGAATTACATACACAAACCCTTAAGAGAATGTTTATGGGATTTCATAAATGAATCTCTATGGTAGAATATTCCATCGGTAATTTGCATCCTTTTAGAAGGTTGTTGAAGCACTTGGAGGTTTTTATCTGTGTCCTCAGGGTCACTTTAGACTTTTAGCTATGCAGTTTAGGATGAACACCCTTTGAATGGTGTGGGAGTAGGAATGGATTTCCAGAGGGGGAAAAAATTGCAGATTACAGGAACCAGGAGCACTACTCGGTGACTCTGATACAGATAAACCTCCCAGGTATAAATTATAAGTCTGTAAACTATACAGGCTTCAACACTGAGATATACTTGCAGATAAAACATTGCAATGTTTTAATTGTAAATTAAAAATAACTTCAAGTAATAATATCAGGTGGGAGCAGAGACTGTAATATGTGCCGGTAGAAATATTCATGGGCAATATTCATCAAGCACCCTCTAAAAGGATGCAAATGACCAGTTGTCTGCGAAGAATATAAATCCTTCCATTCCCCACCATCCAGTCAGAGCTGAAGAAGCTTCTTGGATGAGAAGCGAAACGTCTTCAAAGAAAAAACAAAGTCCAGTTGACTCCTGAAAAAAAAAAAGGCCCTTTGGGATTTCCTCCGGCAGTTTGCTTGTTTGTTTGTTTTTACATTGCCGTTGTGTACGCAATACACGTAGCGCGGACAACGAAGCAAATGGGCTCCCGCGAGCAACTTTCGTTGACGGAGGAGAAGGCGGAGTCAAGCGACTGAAGCGTGGCAGGGAACGAAGTCAGCGCCCAGCGGATTGGAGCAGGCCACCGGAAGTCCCGCCTCGAAACGGTGCGCGGTTCTCGCCTCTTTCTCGGCCGCTGCTGGTGGTGGTTGCGTTTGGCTGCCGAAGGACAGCGATGGGGAATTTGCTGCAGTTTCTGAAGCTGGTGGGGCAGCTGAAGGTGGGAAATCCGGGCGACGAGCGGGGTGGGCTGGTGGGGAGTATTTTAGACGGAGGCGGTTCTCCCTGCTCATGCTGGGCTTTTCGTTGCCGGCTTGGTTTGCCGGTCCCTCCCGCGGTCCTGGCTCGCTCATTCCGGCTGCCTTCGGAAGCCCATATCTGATCTTCGTGAACCCGAAGCCGGGTCGCAGGTTGCGCACGATAAGCGGGGCCTCGAGGCGGGCTTACAAGGCTGCGATCCCAGCCAGGCGATCCCTGCGGTTCGCCTTATCCAGTGGCCTGTTGGGATCCAAGCGCACGAAATATATTCATTTATTTCGGCTTTAGATTTTACCTATTCGTCAAATTCGCCCGGCTTCCCAGCATCCTGGGTGGCTCGGATCAGGAAATGGCGTTAGTAACGCCAAGTAAAACGAAGGAAGGCAAGGATATTGTCATTCCGCTTTTAATCCGCTCGTTCAAAACTGCTGTCCACGGCAGCCCCTAATCTAGTTTTTCCCTATGGCCACCTTTATGTGACAGGTCATTAGGCTGAGAGACATAACTGGCCTTGCCCACTCGGTGAATTTCCATGGCTGGTGATGGATTTGAACCTGGCTCTTCCCCCCCCCCAAAAAAAACTACATTATTGAATGTAAAAATTACATTCAATAATGTAATTTTTCAGGAGGCCGGCTGTGTATGAAATGGCACAAGCACTTGGGTGTTTAAGGGTGTTTTGACATGAATAGGTTCTGGGCATGTTACTTATAGAGCCCATGATGATGATGATGATGATGATTAGGCTGCTTGGGCTCCTCAGCTGTCGCTTATGATTTATATTATGCAATTGCATTGTTTTAAAAAGTTATGAGCTACCCAGAGTTGCTTTTGTGAGATTGCTGCTATATAAATTGAATAAATAAAAACTGATGTGGAAAAAAAAACCTGCAGATATTTTTATGACATTGCCAAGTCAATCAGTCAGAACAGAGCTGATTGGAAGGGACCTTGGAGGTATTCTAATCCAGCCTCCTACTTTTAGCAGGAGACTCTATACCATTTCAGACAAGTAACTGTCCAGTTTCTTCTTTAAAATTTCCAGTGATAAAGACCCACAACTTCTGAAGGCAAGCTGTTCAATTGGTTAGTTGTCCTCACTGTTAGGAAGTTTCTCCCCAGTTCCAGGTTGCTTCTTTCCTTGAATAGTTTCCATCCATTGTTTCTTGTCCTGTTATCTGGTGCTTTGGTAAATAAGTTTACTCCTTCCTCTTTGTGGCAACCTCTCAAATATTGGAATCATGTCACTGCTAGTCCTTCTTTTCTCTAGACTAGCCAAACCCAAAATATTTTTCATATGTTTTAGGCTCCAGGCCTTTAATCATCTTAGTTGCTTCTTTGCACTTTTTCCAAAGTCTCAATATCTTTTTTGTAATGTGACCAAAACTGGATGCAATATTCCAGGTGTGGCTTACTAAAGTTTTATAAAACAATATTAATACTTCCCATGGTTTAGTTTCTATGCCTGTTTATACAACTAAGGATCGTATTGGCTTTTTTGGCTGCTGCCTCTCACTGCTGGCTCATATTTAAGTGATTATCTACTAGGACTCCCAAGTTACTGTTTTTGAGCCAGGTTTTGCCTAATTGTACTTGTATAATATTGAAAATAACATGACTGAATCATTCCTTTTACTTGTGTTTAGGGGAGGGAAATATCAGTAAATATTTTTTAAAAAACATTTCTGTAGTACAATAGATGAACGTGCTGCCTGGAGCTTAAGTCTAATTCTCCATCTGGGTTTTCTGATTCCTTTTTTGAAACCAGAGAGTACCTCGCACCGGCTGGGTATACAGAAAGGTAAACAATCCAGAAAGTGTCTCAGATCACATGTACAGAATGGCAATTATGGCTATGGCCACTGAAGATAAAACTCTTAATAAAGATAGGTGAGTGGACCTTAAAATTAATTAAACAAATTTTATATTTATTTATATTTATTGAATTTATTTGCCACCCATATTGTAAGGAAATGACTCTGGTTGGTTTCCAGCATTAAAACATTAAAATCCTAACAAATATCTTTAAAACAATAAAAATAGAAATCCCAAGCAAGATAAAATATAGTTAAAAGAAGGGGAGGGAAGGAACAGGCCTTTTGAATTGTCTCTTAATTCAACCACCACCTCCCAAGTGATGCTCTCCTGTTAGGGTCCCAAGTTATCTGGCAGAGCCAGGTCTTTAGGCTCCTGCAAAAAGACAAAAGGGGAGGAGCCAATCTCTCCTTGGGGTGAGGAGCCATGGCAAAGAAGGTCCTTCTTCTGGACCCCACCAGCTGAAATTCCTTGATCGATGGGGCCTGCAGCATGCCTCCTCTGCCAGTGTGGATGGGGTGGTGCTACTGAAATTCAGTACTTCAGAACTACACCCCCTCCTTGTTTAGTGATCACAATCTGTTCCTTAAAATCAGAAGCAGAATGGTCACTAAGATAACACATGACAGAAAGATACTGCGAAGATCGCTGGTTAGTTGCTGTCCTTATTTAGTAGATTAGAACCCTCTGACTGTTTGACACTGGCCAGATCCTAATCAGTTTCACAGTGAGGGCTTTTGTTGTTAGGCCCCCCAAAAGTTGTTACAAATGATTGCATTGATCAAAATGAATTTTTAAAATTATTATTATTATTGGTGTTTTTAGAGCAAAGTGTTTACTAGTGTTAAAACTTCTCTTTATGATACTTCATGTGACAATTTTTTTTTATTTCATTCATTAACCTACATGGATATTTTGTTGGAGATCTATATACGATACACTAATATTCAAAGTAAATTTTGCAGGTGGTGCTTCTCTGTTGTATATCTTTATCCATATTTTCTTTGCAGGTGCATTCGATTAGCTTTGGTTCATGATATGGCTGAATGCATAGTTGGTGACATTGCTCCTGCTGACAATATTTCCAAAGAAGAGAAACATCGGCAAGAAAAGGTCAGCATGGAGATGAGAATAGTGTGATTGTCTGTAACAGCTTTCCCTGAACTGTCATTCCCAAACAACATTAAAAAACACTTTTAGAATATATTTCTGGTATAGAACCCACCAATTATACTTTACAGGTAAATGTAGGTTTCTAATCTACTAGTCCTTGAATTACAACCATAATGGAACCTGCCCATCAGTATTATAAATTGTGATGCTCCTAAATTGAGTCAAGCATGTGACAGACCTGTTTTTGTGACCTTTTTTGGGGCAGTTGTTATGCAAACCAATGGATCCCTATGGGCTGAAAGTGAAGTAAATGCCAGTTTTCAGCAGAACCGTCATAAAGACAAGATTGCATGACCATGGGGCGCTGCAAATAGCTGTAAATATGGTCAGTTGCTGAGTGATTGACAGTTGTGACCACGTGAGGCAGCCAGCGGTTGGAATTTCAGAACCAAGTCGTAAGTACCCCAGAGAGGTCCATCATAACTGAAAAGCCACCAAGCAACTGGTTGTAAATCAATAACGATAAAAACCAAGCTAACACACTTATATCCTACCAATTCCCCCATATCTAACCAATTCTGAATAGCAATGCAACATAGACCATGGCTCTTATTGATGTCCAAAAGCAGAGAACAGGATAAAGGTATTTGTTAGCATTTCAATAAAAATTAGAGCATCTTGGAGATTTTGTTTTGTTTTTTTCTTTCTTCTTTCTTTTTAGGAAGCTATGAAACATTTGACCAGGTTGCTGTCAGAGGATCTGGAAAAAGAGATTTATGAACTCTGGGAAGTAAGTTTTCAGCATATAAAATTATTCATGGTTTTTTTTTTCTAAAAAAAAAAATCATGTTAAAAATTGTTTTGCATGAAAGCCACCATCAATTTAAGAAACCCCTCTCTACTACTCATTATAAGATTCAGGGTAATTGTCATGCAGCTATTACCCACAATATTGGGAGTTAGAAAGCACAGTTAGCAATTTGAAGTATACGTACTTAACATGATCAGTATATCTTGTCCATTACAGTGACACCTCTTTCCTCAGTTTTTGCTTAACGCTTCAAAAAATGAATTATTTTCTTACGTTTACATTAGAGTACGTTTGTTTTAATTTGGGGAAATATTGTGTTTCATGAAATAATGTGAGTGGGGGATAATAGGGAGCAGACTCCTTTTCATAAAGATTATTTATTATTGAAATTATACCCTTGCCTCAATCAACCAACTCTTTAAGGTCATAGCCCAACATAGGAAGGGTGGAATGCAAACAATTAGCAATTTTAAAAGCTAAAAAAATGTAAAATACACAAGGTTAAAAGAATATTTTAAAATGATATGCATATAATCCATACAGAAAAGGGTAAAAATGTGTGTGTGTGTGTGTGTGTATCTCCCACCTTTCTGTTTATTCCAACATTCAGTATTTACTATAATGAAAAATACAAAACATAAAAGATTTAATACAATTAAAATTAAAGATTTGAGAGGATCTTTTGCCAAGCTTTTGTTAATTTTAATTAGCAAACCATTTTGAAGTCATTAAAATGTTTAACAGTGCAGATCTTTCATTATAGGCATCATATACAGGTGAAACTTGAAAAATTAGAATATCATGCAAAAGTTCATTTATTTCAATAATGCAACTTAAAAGGTGAACCTAATATATGAGATAGACTCATTATATGCAAAGCAAGATAGTTCAAGCCATGATGGGTCATAATTGAGATGATTATGGCTCATGAAAACCCCAAATCCACAATCTCAGAAAATTAGAATATTGTGAAAAGGTTCAATATTCTAGACTCAAAGTGTCCCACTCTAATCAGCTAATTAAGCCATAACACCTGCAAAGGGCTCCTGAGCCTTTAAATGGTCTCTCAGTCTGTTCAGTAGGAATCACAATCATGGGAAAGACTGCTGACTTGACCGTTGTGCAGAAAACCATCATTGACGCCCTCCATAAGGAGGGAAAGCCTCAAAAGGTAATTGCAAAAGAAGTTGGATATTCCCAAAGTGCTGTATCCAGGCACATTAATAGAAAGTTATGTGGAAGAGAAAAGTGTGGAAGAAAAAAGTGCACAAGCAGCAGGGATGACCGCAGCCTGGAGAGGATTGTCAGGAAAAGGCCATTCAAAAGTGTTGGGGACTTTCACAAGGAGTGGACTGAGGCTGGAGTCAGTGCATCAAGAGCCACCTTACACAGACGGATCCTGGACATGGGCTTCAAATGTTGTATTCCTCTTGTCAAGCCGCTTCGAACAACAAACAATGTCAGAAGCGTCTTACCTGGGCTAAAGAAAAACAGAACTGGTCTGTTGTTCAGTGGTCCAAAGTCCTCTTTTCTGATGAGAGCAACTTTTGCATCTCATTTGGAAACCAAGGACCCAGAATCTGGAGGAAGAATGGAAAGGCACACACTGCAAGATGCTTGAAGTCCAGTGTGAAGTTTCCACAGTCTGTTGATTTGGAGAGCCATGTCATCTGCTGGTGTTGGTCCACTGTGCTTCATTAAGTCCAGGGTCAACGCAGCCGTCTACCAGGGGATTTTGGAGCACTTCATGCTTCCTTCTGCAGATGAGCTTTATGGGGATGCTGACTTCATTTTCCAGCAGGACTTGGCACCTGCCCACACTGCCAAAAGCACCAAAACCTGGTTCAATGGCCATGGGATTACTTTGCTTGATTGGCCAGCAAACTCTCCTGACCTGAACCTCATAGAGAATCTATGGGGCATTGCCAAGAGAAAGATGAGAGACATGAGACCGAACAATGCAGAAGAGCTGAAGGCCTCTATTGAAGCATCCTGGTCTTCCATAACACCTCAGCAGTGCCACAGGCTGAAAGCTTCCATGCCACGCCACATCGAGGCAGTAATTGCTGCAAAAGGGCCCAAACCAAGTACTGAGTACATATGCATGCTTATACTTTTCAGAGGTCCGATATTGTTCTGTGTACAATCCTTGTTTTATTGATTGCATGTAATATTCTAATTTTCTGAGATTGTGGATTTGGGGTTTTCATGAGCTGTAAGCCATAATCATCACAATTATGACAAATCACGGCTTGACCTATCTTGCTTTGCATGTAATGAGTCTATCTCATATATTAGTTTCAGAGTTATGCAGTTATGAATCTGGTGGTCTTAACATATATATATCCTGGTTGTATAGTTTTTAACTGTTAATTGTTTTAATTTGTTTTACATTGTTATTTGTATATGTCTTTTGGTGTTGTTCAGTTGTATGTTGTGAAAGAGCACCTTATTTCGTTGTTCTCAGGTTCTGAGTACAATGACAATAAATTTATCTTATCTAGTTTCACCTTTTAAGTTGCATTACTGAAATAAATGAACTTTTGCACAATATTCTAATTTTTCGAGTTTCACCTGTATATACTGTATATTCTTCAAGTTACAACTATTTTTTAATGACCATTCAAAGTTATGATGGTGTTGAAAAAAGCAACTTACAACCAGTCTTCAAACTTACCATTGCAGCATCCCTGCAGTCAGGTAATCGAAATTTGGATGCTTGGCAACTGGCGTGTATTTGACAGTTGCAGCATCCTGGGGTAACATGATTGCCATTCACAACTTTCCCAGGGATCATTACAAGCAGAGTCAATGGTGGAAGCCTTATTTGCTTAACAACTGTGTGATTTCTGGTTGACTAGGCCTTCATCCTTCTGAGGTCGATAAAATGAGGACCCAGATTGTTAGGGGCAATATGCCACCTCTATAAACTGCTTAGAGAGGACTATAAAGCATGGCAAAGCAGTATATAAGTCTAAGTGCTATTCCTAATTCCTTAATAACTATGGCAAAAAATGTTGTAAAATTGGATTGTCTCACTTAGTGACTGTATCTGTTAACGATGAAAGTTTTGGGCCCAGTTATGGTCATAAGTCAAGGGCTACTTGTATTGTTCTACTTTGCAATTTCAGACACTTTTCAAGAACAGCCCTTCGTAAAGCACAATACAGTAGTTTGGTCAGATTGTATCCCAAACAAACTGGCTTAGAAAAGTTTGCGCACCTGTTAAGTATGCAAATCACAGCCACAATCTGCAAATGACCACTGAAGGTCAAGAACCATTCAAAAGATGCAAATGCGTTCTTTCTGGCGTATGGCCTCATTCAGAAAAGGCTTCAGTTCAGTCCCAGAGTAAAGCTTTCTCCTTACTGTCAACACTTTCTATTTTCTCTGAATTTAACTTCAGCTTGTTCCCTCTCATTTAGCCCATTATTCAGGTCAGGCAACATCCCACAGTATTGATGGCTTCCTTAGAGATGGTTGGGAAGAGCAGTGGCATTGTGCATCTGTTAAACCAGGGGTCTCAAACACAATTTACCTGGGGGCCGCTGGAGGCAGAGTCTGGGTGAGGCTGGGCCGCATAATATTATACTTTATATTATACTTTGTATTTATATATACAGTAATATTATACAATAATATTAATTATACAGTAATATTACACTTTCATATCACGGTGGGGGCCACAGGATATCGTCCTGCGGGCTGCAAGAATGAGACCTCTGTGTTAAACAGTATGCATGTGGATGGATAAGCTTAACATTCACTTCAAACAGGCAGAGTTCGTTTAGGAAGATTTCAGCTTACATTACATGTGGAGCCAGGGTGGAATTCAAATATTTTTACTACCAGTTCTGTGGGCGTGGCTAGGTGGGAGTGGTCATGTGACTGGGTGGGCATTTCTTTTTCTTTACTTTTTTTTTTGCAGCAACCCCCGCTCCGGGTTTTTGTTTTTTTTTTTCTGTTTGTGGTCGCGGGGGGGGGGGGGGGGAGGGGGGGGGGGGGGGGGGGTGTTTTTGCTCCCAGGAAGCTGAGGAAGGCAAAAAATGGAGCGGGGGGGGGCGCAAAGCACACCCACAGACCCTGCATGCCTCTTTTTGCCTCTTGGGCCTCCGGGAAGCCTCCTGGGTGAAGCAGTAAGACAGCAAGTGGGGGATCCCAGCACAACTGATTGTCGGAACAGCTGATACCTTAAGGAGTGACTGGGCGGGGAGAGGAGGGTGGAGCAGGGCCAGCCAGCGGCATGATTTGCCGGTTCTCTGAACTGCACAGAATCGTAACAAATGGTTCTATAGAACCAGTCCGAACCGGTAGAATCCCACCCTTGATGTGGAGAATTGCAACTTTAACAAAAGTTTAGCAAGATATCTCTCTAGCAACAAAAGAGAGTTCTCAAAACACAGTTTCCATGTGAATTAAGGGAAGAAAGGCACTCTGCTGGAAAAGTACAAGGAGATGGAAGAAATGCTTTGAGTAACTCAGTCAAATTTTGTTGAAAGGTATCAAAGTGGGCATTATAGTCCTTGGAAGCCAGAAGAAGCATTCTGTGTAGGTCACCTTGATTGTTCTGGAACTCAAACCTAACCTTTGCATTGGGAACGTATGTTTGGATGTGTGAAACGTAAGAGTGGAGCTCTTAGATCAGAAAGTGAACAATACTGAATATAAACCTGCATTTGTGCCTACATGTCTGACTTGCTAGAAAAAGTAATGCTGGGAATGACTTCCAGACCACAGTGTGACAGGATGAACTCCTTTTCCATTATATGTTCTCTTCAGGAATATGAATATCAGTCTACTGCAGAAGCAAAATTTGTTAAACAGCTGGACCAATGCGAAATGATTATTCAAGCTTTAGAGTATGAAGAGTTAGAGAAAAGACCTGGGACATTACAAGACTTTTATGATACTACTGCCGGTAAATATCCTTTCTTTTAAACAAGTTTATGTTTATGACTCATGAGACAAAACAAATGTTATAGGTTGGCTTCTCTGCTGAGGGATGACGCTGCAGGATGCCGTTCATCTTTCTTTCTGGTGCAGAGCTAGCTCATCTTCTGTGGTGCAGCTTGGAAAGTGCACAAGTGTGAACCAAACAGGACGAGCAGTCTTAGGCAGCCAAACTACTAGTATGTATTAGCATTGTAGTCTCCCGGCTAACATTGTCATACACTAAATAAAATGAATAAAGATGGGATATTAACTTAAAACAGATGACTGGGATCCCACAATCACCCTTTCAAAGTGTTCTGGTATCAAAATTTCTCAAACCAGAAGCTGATAACACCAAGATGGGAAAGGGAAGAAGTTGGGACTGTCCTGGGGGCTGCTCCATCTTGTTGACTGGAAAAAGGCTTGTTGCCTTGACTTCTGAATCATAGCCTAAATCTTGTAGATGTCTAGTTACTTGTATATTTTCCAAGAAATTCAATTTTGGTTGTAGGAGCTTGTCCTAATGGATCCACCCATTAACGTATTCCACATGATTGAAGTTGCAAGACATTCTAGTTAGAATTTTTCAAAGACACAAGAAGCTGCCAGCAACCATTTGGTAGCAGCTGGTGCTCTTGTTTTCTATGACTTTGGCTTGTCTAGTTGTATTTTGGAAGGCTAGCAAAAAAGCTGTCAATTTGTGACTTTGACTTTCTGTGACTTTGATTTCAGAGGCAAAGGACATTTAAAAAACCAGCCAATTGTGTTGATATGTGCTATGGACTTGCTCCTCCTCTCATCTGATCTGATTTCAGGTGACAGATTAAGGCAATAATACAACATAGATGCCTAGCATTTTTTTTCAACATCCAAAGCTTTATTGTAATTTTAGGAAGGAATACCTTAGAAAATAGAACTTGTATAGGCAAACAGATGAGTACCAAATATAAAAGCTTACATAATAATACAGTTCTTGTAGGTAAAATTATAATTACCAGAATTACTGCCATAACCTTGCAATTAGCCTACTTGTAAACTAACTAACCTGTATGTAAACTAACTAAAATCTTTTTCTACAGGAAAATTTAGTCATCCAGAAATAGTCCAGCTTGTATCTTCGATAAATAAAGAAAGAAATGCAAATATAGCTGCGAAAAACAGTGATCCACCAACTTGAAATATGCTTAGCTGCATATAAAATAAATCATTTTATAATTTGAATATGTGTGTGTGTGGTCTTGTGGCATAATATACATAAAGACTTTTGGTTTATCAAATAATTTGTAGAAAATGTAGGCAATAAATGAGGCTGTGATATGGGATAGGAAGGCCAAGATTGGAGTCAAAAAATTAAACTGGCTGCTTTAAAAGCATGGTTGGAGTTTTATAGGAGGCAACTAGTACCTAGAATATTCAGTAATAAATTAAAATTGGACACAGTATGAATCACTTTGTTACTTCCATCTCAGACTCTCTGCACGGCAAAAGTCTACTAAGTGAGAAAACACGTTCACCATTTGGGCAGTTCCAGTTAGTGAATTTCAGACACGAAAACCCAAATGATTAAACCATGTGTCAGCTTTTCAGTCTGCTTCTTTGAACATTTGCAATAGAAACAGTAACCATCTTTAAATGAACCACATAACCTAGCAAGATAGGGAGACAAAAGTGAAACAGGAAAATAAAAATAGCTGCTTATAATTTGTACATAATTTACATAATTTGTAAAGAAACACAAATAATTTAAATTGGTTAATGCTGCATAAATTTAATTGAGCTCCATATCTTTTAGATATCAGTTTTTTGCCAGGTTCAGAAGTCATATGTTACAAGATTTATTATTTTTTTAACATAGTTTAAAGGTCCAGCCCGAAATTAAGAATTGAAATTTTAAATATTCTCTTTAAAAAGTATAAATAAGTTCAGGTTTTTTTTTTTGGATAGGCACATTTATTTTACTCCAACTGAAAAGAGAAAAACGTTATTACAATTCAAACAATTGCAGTCAAGCATGGATATAATCTGGCTCAGATTGTTATCAGATTAAATCTCTACATGCCACATGTTTGCAAGGAAATTGGAACTGTTTATATACACCAACTTTTTATTGATTGGCTATTCCAAAATTATTTCTCTTTCTCTTTTATATTTCCTCAGTACTTTGTACTAAAGGCATGTGTATCATTGCTTCTTTAGACAGAAAACTTTGCAACAGAATTGTTTTTTGTTCCAATCCTTATCCCAATGGCACATATAATGAAGAGATTGATTTTCTTTTAACAGTCAGAAACTGTACATAAACAGAGAACAGGCAAAAACAGCTGTGTTGTTTACCCCATGAGAAATAGAATAGGTAATGGCTTGAACAATAATCACAACTTATTTTCTGAAATTCATTATAAAAACATACACGGACAAATTTCTTAAGATAATAGCCATTTTAAAAATTGACACAATTGTACAGAAGTTACAGTGTAAAATCACTTATAAGCATAAATAGAATTAAATGGGTAATATAGAAGGAAAGCTAGCAGTTACTTCTGCAGCAATGGCTGCCATTTGGTTGCATCCCAGCCATTCTCTCTGCCTAGGACTGTCTGTCTAGGTATATTCTCAATGCAGTCCTACAACTTCATACTCAGTCCTGGAGAGAAAAGAAACATTTCATGCATTGGTATATGCAAACAGCATATACCTAGCAATGGAGCTCTTCTTCGGTTTCTGAAAGTCGGCTGCCTGCAATTGGGTTCTGAGCACTAGCATTGGCTGCAGAGCTAAGAACTTCTTCAAAGCTTCCTCCAGGGTGAGGTGTACCTCCAACTTTTGTCTAGAAGGAACAAAAACATATTTTTTTTGCTAAAATCAATAATTTGATCTTTGTCCCTCTGGACTGTTTATGTATTCTGACTACCGTATCATGAACTATTTGGTACCCTTGCATAGTAACTCATTCTACCTTTTGATTGTCCCAGCTCACAAAGCAGCAAGTAAGACAGAACTTGTTTAAAACGCAAGAAACTTGTGCCAGAGCAAAAATTTATTATAAGCGTATTCGTGTTGACAAATAGATAAGCTTTGCATTATATCGTTGTGACCATTTGTATTAAATTAGGTATTTTGAAATGCAGTACAGAAGTTCCTTAATTCAAGATAGCTCTTAAATGCAAAATTGGTTATGAATTCATCCACTTTCCTTCAGAGATCTAATGTTACATTTTGGAAAAATCAGTACTGTAGGGAAAACAAGGAACCTATCTGAGTAACAGAAATTACCAGGAACCCTGGGGAAAAATGTGGATGACCTGACCATAGATCTGAGAATAAGTTCTAATGAAAATATAGCTTGCTCTTAAACCAAGTATTTCAATTGATAAATAACACTCAGAGATTAAAAATGAACTGGAGTTTCATAGAAGGAACCCTGTGAACATCTAGTTTGCTTATATAACACAAGTGTCAACAATAACTTAACTGACCAACTTTTCACAAGGTTTTTCTTAGGGTTTGCCTGGCTCTCCTAATCCCTTTTCCCTTTGTTCTTATCCCTACCTTAATGCTCGTAACAGTGGTTTCAACCTTTTCTTCAAAGGATTTGAATGTAGGAGAATTCCTTAAAAGGAAAAAAATGAAGACCAGTATTTGTTAGTACTTAATCTTGTTCATTTCTATAGTTAATATTTAAAAGTTTAAAGAACCCCCATTTAGAAGAAAAGTGCAATGTGTTTACAATGACATCAATTATTCTGAAATACTTGGACATCTATTTAGCCTACATCAACCACACAAATTCTTTAGGGCCCTATTATTCCAGATATCATTCTTTAAGAAAAAAAGATGATACTTGATACAAATCTATGGAAATTTGGGTAGCTTGGACTGAGACTCTGTATTGGAGACGTTCAGAGAGTACTGTTTTTCAATTTTTTTTGCATAGGAACAAATACTTCAGTTGGAAAGCTGATGCCAAACAAAAGCTTTAATTCAATGGTACAAAATAACAGAAAGCATTTAAAATTGATTCCTTTTTTGCAGAGCATTCACTTCTGGCATTGTTCTAGGAGAATTAGATTGTTGATGTGAAAGTACTGTGGCATGTAGGCAATGTTAATAGATGAAACTGAGAAACAGCCAGGAATTAGAATCAAATTTGTCTCTGAATTAAAATGATCTGACTGGGACTTTGGCCTAAGAAACTTTGACAATAAAAAAAATGAGACAGAAAATGTAATGGGTGCCCTTCCCCTCAAGGATGCTTCCCATTTTCTCTAAATATAACATACACCAAGTACAAACAAATGTTTTCAAACATTTTTATTTTAAGGCACTGCTAAAGTAAGGGATGTTTTACCATTCTCCATCATCAATTTCAAAGTTTCCATCTCAGCTAAACAAGAGGGTCTCTTAATGACTCCAAGCCTAACACATTTTGAAAAATAAAGAAGGTATCCGAAAAAATGGAAAATACAATTATGCAAAATGTTTCTAATATAAAGGTTATAGGGTTAAATATTTTTATAATTACAATACCATTGGATAGATAACCGTAGTTACCTCATAGCAGGCATACTCATGGAATGGCGGATAGAATACCTGCTTTGCAAAAGCATGGAAAAGAAGAGAAAATACACAGCGATTACAGGTTTGCAGCTATATTGATTTCACATTAATGAAGTCTAGCGGTAACTATTGTAACTTACATTCTAAGAGCATGCTCACTGATGAAAAGGTACTTTGGAATCTCACTAAAATACAATGCTCAGTTGTCAGAATCTAATGGAAGATCTTCCATGGTGACACTTTAACTCTAGTTCATTCGGTTTTAATTGATGAACTATAGCTAGATGGGGTTAGTATGGTATAGCATTCTAATTGTGCCTATCAGGAATAGTCTAGGGACTACCAAATAGCAGCAGCAGGGAGGAAGGGAATGATTAAGATACTAATGGGAAGAAGAGCAATAGTTCTAAACCCGGAAACACTTTATTCACTAGCACTCAGTTGTAAGTCCTATAATGCACTACTTCTAAGATAAGATAAATAGGTCTTAGGTTAATGGTTGCCTTTAATAAACTCAAGTCTTTTTTAGAGCAGGGGTCTCCAACCTTGGCAGCTGGCTGGGAATTCTGGGAGTTGAAGTCCTCCAGGCTTAAAATTGCCAAGGTTGGAGACCCCGATTTTAGGGGACAGAAAAGTAAAAATCTTGCCTCTAAAAGGGCTGTATTTTAAAGACCTTGCTACCTGGGTCTTTGTCTATATCCATGAAAGTTCATGTAGTCTTTTGTCAAATGGGGGGAGGAGGAAGAGGAAGAGGAGACGGGGGGGGGGACCTTCTCTTGTGTCTAATCCTCTTTTTAAAACACTGCAACAATAAGGAGCAGACAGAAGACAGAAAGCTACCTCCTATAAAAGTCAAATCAATACAACCTGGCTACATCCTGCTCATAAATATTCTAAAAATGGGAAACAGGACAGATTTAAAACTAACTCAATTGTTTCCATTTTTCAGAAAGAAACAAGCTTTCAGGCAGCTGGAATGTGCCAAGCTATAATTGAGAGCATCATTTATACTTAGACCAATATATGCATATTTACTTTGGAAGTGCTACCTATAGTTGGAAAATCTAGTTTTAAATTTTCCTACGTATCATATTCCTCAATAATGTTTGCAGATGTTTGTTTCAGTCCTTAGCAATCTCTCTACTGTTTAATCAGGCTATATATTCAACAATATTTTAGTTAAAGCAATAACCTCCCTCCTTAAAGGATGGAAAGAAATACTGCCAAATATTTACAGTATGTATTTACCCGATATACTCACAGGTAAGCCAACTTGCATTTTTCATAGTATTTTGGTTTAAAAAGTTAGGATATGTTTATCTGCAAGCGGATATATCCACAAGTATGATTGGGAACTATGGCTTGTTTTAAAAGTATTACCACATATATTCATGGATAAGTTTATCCGCAGATAAGCCAAACCAATTTGGGGGGTCTATTTGGGCACCTAAAATTCTTCTCTTATCTGTGAGTATATGTGGCATTTTCCATATAATTTCAAAGTTTCCTGAATGTACAATGGAATAGCTTGCAAATAAGAAACTAAGAGACAGAGAGAGAACAAGAAGTAGTATCAACATATAGTCACCTTACCCAATGGAATGTGACCTGGCTCAGCAGCATAAGGAAAAATCAGGAAGAATTAAGCATGGGTATATAGCTACTGAAGTTCTTTCAAAACCCAGCATAGACTACTCAGTGCCATGATGGATTGAATAATATTTACAGTATTTTTCATGACCAGAAAGCATGTGAAAATGGTGCTTCACAAAGTACATTAACACCTGCAAAGCACCAGCTTATTGAATGAATGGGTGGATGGATGAATGGATGGATGAATAAATACACTGCTCAAAAAAATAAAGGAAACACAAAAAGAAGACATCCTAGATATGAATGAATGAAATATTCTTATTAAATACTTTGTTCATTACATAGTTGAATGTGCTGACAACAAAATCACACAAAAATTATCAATGGAAATCAAATTTAGCAACCCATGGAGGTCTGGATTTGGAGTTACACTCAAAATTAAAGTGGAAAAAAACACTACAGGCTGATCCAACTTTGATGTAATGTCCTTAAAACAAGTCAAAATGAGGCTCAGTAGTGTGTGTGGCCTCCACGTGCCTGTATGACCTCCCTACAATGCCTGGGCATGCTCCTGATGTGGTGGCAGATGGTCTTCTGAGGGATCTCCTCCCACACCTGGACTAAAGCATCCCCCAACTCCTGGACAGTCTGTGATGCAATGTGGCGTTGGTGGATGGAACGAGACATGTCCCAGATGTGCTCAATTGGATTCAGGTCTGGGGATCGGGCGGGCCAGTCCATAGCATCAATGCCTTTGTCTTGCAGGAACTGCTGACACACTCCAGCCACATGAGGTCTAGCATTGTCTTGCATTAGGAGGAACCCAGGGCCAACCGCACCAGCATATGGTCTCACAAGGGGTCTGGGGATCTCATCTCAGTACCTAATGGCAGTCAGGCTACCTCTGGCGAGCACATGGAGGGCTGGCGGCCCCCTAAAGAAATGCCTCTCCACACCATTACTGACCCACTGCCAAACCGGTCATGCTGGAGAATGTTGCAGGCAGCAGAATATTCTCCACGGCATCTCCAGATCCTGCCACGCCTGCCACATGTGCTCAGTGTGAACCTGCTTTCATCTGTGAAGAGCACAGGGCACCAGTGGCAAATTTGCCAATCTTGGTGTTCTCTAGCAAATGCCAAACGTCCTGCACGGTGTTGGGCTGTAAGCACAACCCCACCTGTGGACGTCGGGCCCTCATACCACCCTCATGGAGTCTGTTTCTGACCGTTTGAGCAGCCACATGCACACTCTGGAGGTCATTTTGCAGGGCTCTGGCAGTGCTCCTCCTGTCCCTCCTTGCACAAAGGCGGAGGTAGCGGTCCTGATGCTGGGTTGTTGCCCTCCTACGGCCTCCTCCATGTCTCCTGATGAACTGGCCTGTCTCCTGGTAGTGCCTCCATGCTCTGGACACTACACTGACAGACACAACAAACCTTCTTGCCACAGCTTGCATTGATGTGCCATCCTGGATAAGCTGCACCACCTGAGCCACTTGTGTGGGTTGTAGACTCCGTTTCATGCTACCACTAGAGTGAAAGCACCGCCAGCATTCAAAAGTGACCAAACCATCAGCCAGAAAGCATAGGAACTGAGAAGTGGTCTGTGGTCACCACCTGCAGAACCACTCCTTTATTGGGGATGTCTTGCTAACTGCCTATGCTTTCCACCTATTCCATTTGCACAACAGCATGTGAAATTGATTGTCAATCAGTGTTGCTACCTAACTGGACAGTTTGATTTCACAGAAGTGTGATTGACTTGGAGTTACATTGTGTTGTTTAAGTGTTCCCTTTATTTTTTTGAGCAGTGTACATACTCTTCCATCCGTCCCAGCCAGGGTCAATGCACCAAAGGACATAGGTGCTTTCAGACTTTAAAAAGGGATGCCTAATTTTCAGAAAGCCCTCTGCTTAGCTCCCCTTTCCAATGTTTTGTACAGCCCTGTAACTATCAATATTTGCAATCTCAAATGTGTTTCTAATAAGGACATGATTTTGAAAACTTGTTCCCAGAGGATGCTAGACATCAAACTGTACGATTTCAAATAATCTGTATCTGTTAATTGAAGTTTGCACTGCTCAGAACTATTTAATACTCCTAAAACATAGCTATTTTAGATAGCAGAAATTTAATAGACCATTATCATCATCATCAGCTCTGGAAACTAAATAGCAAAAGAAAAATGTCTTAGATCAGAATGCATCTTCATCCCTTAAATCAATAATATTGCTTTAAAAATTGTATCTATAAATCAAATCAGTTGCAACATATCCAACATAAATATATAGGTGAGCCAGTTAGTTTCAGTTAAGTATGCATAAAATTAAATGAAATTAAAAGCATGGGATAGGTTAAGATCACCAAGATTTGTTTGTTTCTCAGAGCCAATTTAGAATGGAGTGGCACAGAAATCTTATATTAATTAATGAATTAATTAATCAACTAAGTCTGGCTGTGCTTCCAACAGGAATTCAGTAGGACTTGAAACATAATTCCAAGCCAATTCCACTGTGAGAAATGAAAGTATTCAACATCAGAGCTTACTTGCTGAATTGCACATTTGGCATATATATAATTCAATGGTAGAAATTATGTCAACTAACCAAAGAGAAAACGATGATGATTTAAATTAAATCAACTAAAGTCCCTGATGATATAAACATGGAGATAATCAATCTATGTGATCACTTAGAATCAACACAGATTTGATGGCACATAATCAACCAATTCCTGAACCTGGTGCTATAAAAATTATCCAATTTTATCATTAATATAAGAATATTTATATCATACAATAGCATTTTAATGTGACATATTTATCTTTACTTTTATCAAAGCTTGCTATTCATATAAGATCTCCATTATTTTTAAGAACAAACTAGACACAACTCTTTTGTGCAACATTATCAAGTGGCAAATAACTATGGTAAAATGTACCTACTATTAGTTGGAATTATATTAGAGAGCTGCACAGTAAATTATCTTCATTCAAATAATTCTTTTCCAGGGAGTGGGGGTGGGGACATAGCGAAGGCAGTCAACAGTTTGGGCAAAACAACTTGGGCAAAAATTACCCAAGACTGGCTTTGTTTGAGCTGGAGATCAAAAAGTGTCAATACTCAATAATGAATTGGAGAAGTTTCAGATCCGACAATATAAATTAACGTCAACATAGGATGTTCCATTTAAGATGATAGAAGATAACTTGCAATCTATAGGTCAAGCCATGGGCAACTTGCTTTACTGCCAGCTATTGTTTTGAAGATTAGGAACTCTTTCTTTGAAAAAGGTTGTTAATCCTTTCACCTGGGACTTATCTCCAATGTCTTTCACCTCATTCCTATCCAACTGCTAAAACCTTGGCAATAAGTAACAAAGCAAATACAAAATTAAAACTAGTTGCCTAACAAGCTTATAAACCTGGAACCTTGCTATTCATCAGTCTGCTCAACCCTGAAATATCTAATAATAAAACCTGATTTTCTATGAAAGACAGCTCTGATTGAAAAGATCCACCATGGAGCAGTCCACTGAAAATGATGAATGAAGATCCTGACAGTTTTAAAAGTTCTGTAAAAGTTTGGTGATAAACTTGTTATTCTTCATCCCAAAGGTGCTTTTTCAAAGGACTTATGTTTTTTTCCCTGAAGATGTTTCACTTCTCAGCCACGAAACTCTTCAGTTCTGACTTCAAACCCAGTTGCCTTTTGAAAAAGTATCTTTGGGATCATGACTTGGATGATTGAGAATCACCATAGATAATTATTCTTCAAAATATTTGTTTTTAAAATTTCATCCATGAAAAGAATTAATGTAATACAGTTTTTGTGGCCCAACTATACATTTACTAGTAAGAATTAGCAAACTGGACTTGTAAGCTCTTTGGTTCCATTGTCTAGGAGTTAAATCAGAAACGTATCTTACTAAGGTAGCAATTTACTTTATGATAAAACAGGAAAAATGAAAGCTAATTTAACTATTATTCAATTTTGCAAAGCTAGTAAATTGAAGAATAACCAGGAGGAACTAAATTTCATCCTTTAAATTAAATCCATACTGGCATACCTCATATCTCCAAACTTCTTGCTGATAACTGTTCCAACGTTGCTGATAGCTGCTGTGGCCTTTTGCCCTGCTTGAGTCAAAGTTTCTTGAGTCTTCTTATACCTAGCATAGCATTAATAACAATACTAATTAAGAACTAGATTCATTTTTATGCCCTTACGATATCAGGATATAAAAATAAACAAGAATAGCCATTTCAGTCACAGCTCACTAACCACAGAGTTAATTGAACAGATTCATATTAAAAGGAATTCTGCTTTTCCTCTTAAAACAGCCAACAGAATACATGTCACAATCCTCTTAAATTTGCACGTAACTGATTTATAGGATATGCTTTTAACCTGCTGTGTTTCCATTTTTCAATGCAGCTGCAAATCTGTTTTAAAATCTAGAAACCAACAAGTCAGTTTTAGTCAATTGTATCTGCTGAGTATGCTCATTCATATCTTATAATTTATCTTTACCTTTTACCTTTCTACCTACACTGGAGATATATATTCATACTCAAACACTATTTCTATTATTCTTTCTTTTACTCTGACCCTCTGTAAAAATACTGAGCAAGAAGATGGCATCAATCTATTTACATTTATATATAGTTGGTTTACCAAACATAATAAAACCCAGTTCACTAATTATAATTCAATTCAATATATTTCTTTTTTTCTATTAAATCTTAAAATGAAAACAATTGTGACCTAGAGAAATGGAGAAATGAAAGAATAAAGTGAAATAAAAAAGCACATCATTAAGAGAAACAGGATATAATATCAACAAACAATAATAATACAAAGAATCCGCTAAAGTGTCATGTTTGTACTACCTTTATTCCCTGTGATTATGGAGTGCCCATTGATCATGATTATGTCAATGAGCATCCCAAAATATCTGTCAATGACTCAAACATTTAGAAAACTGAAAAACTTTTGGATCAGAATCTCCAGAAATAAATGTTGAAAATTAGACAGCTGTGTTTCCTTCTAACCAATTTTGATCAATCCATTTCCAATTTTAAGGGATAACTCCAACATCCCTTTTGTAAATCCAGTATAGGATAGTATTCCACCTCACTCTTCTGATTATTATGTGTTTAACTTTTTGTAATGCTTAAGTCATCATCCAATTTAATTTGTAAAACATTATTTCCATCTCTTTCTGATAGGCTGTAATTTTTAAATGCACATTCTGTCAACTTCAATTTTAAGCAACAGGCTTGTTCCTCTTCCATAACACCTTCTGATTCTGATATAAAGTTGAATAATTTAAAAACTTCTTGCACAGATATATCAAACACTTCTTTTAACATCTGGTGCCCTCTTGTGTCCAACCTTTCAAATTGTCTTATTAGTCTCAGCATGTATGCAGAAAAATTCTCCCATGAGGAAGGATCCTTTCAATTAATTTCAAAGTCTTAAGTCCAACTGAGCCTTAATCAACTTAAAAGTTTCTAGGCAACAATGAAGTAATCACCAGAATCATATCTTTTGAAAGTGGATGATTAGATTAAATAGGAAACTACGCACGTAATAGATTTAAATCTTACCATTTGTACTGCAGTAAGAGTCTGCAAAATATTAACATTTGCCATGAACAGGTAAGATAGTAATTTGAAAAGAGAAGTTTCCAGGTGCATGTATTTCATTATGAATATTGGGTAACTGATTAAAGTTTGAAACAATTTAGAGGCAGAAAGAAATGCTTTACCTGCTCCCAGAATCTAGAAACTTCAATAGGTTATTATAATTAATAAAGACTAATTGAAAAAAACAAACCAAAGTCTGGTGTATCATTTGGGTGCCTGTCATGCATTACGAAAGTGTGTGTGGAACTAGCTTCTTTGGAGAGAGATAATGCAAAAACTGAAAAGTGATGCAAGCAATATCTCATGGGTTTTTTAAAAAATTTTTTCCTATCCATTAAATTGCTGGTGCTGTCATTAAAATATATACCTCCTTGGACTCAGATAGGCCCATCTATCTACAATGCATTCTTAGAAAGTCAAATGGAGTTAGTTTGTCCAAAGAATATCCAATTATTCATTCTAAAGTGCCCAAGTATATTTCCTTCAATTAATATATCAAAAAGAGAGGTTTCCCTATACCTCAATGCAACCTTGCAACATAGGAGGCTCGGTCTTTTCTATACCTGACAAATTAGTTTTAATAGATTTTCACTGAGAGGTGATAGGTAAAACAACAACCCCATCTCCCCCAAAAGAGGCAAAGCATCCCACATAAGCCAGGCATTCCACAATTATTTTTAAGAGCATAAATTGGCAGACTTGATAGTTCTTTTGTGTTGAGCTTCAGAAGGGTTCCTTGAGGAAGACCAAGCCAACGAAACAGCGTTCCAAGTAGAGTCGTAATAAGAGTGGTAGATGAACACCAAGTTGTGGAAATCAAATTGGTTCTACGCCAAGTTCTGGATTGCCTATGCAAGTGATAATGAGTTAATACCCAGAGGAAAGAAGAGACTGAATTTGCACTCACGCACTGGTAGTTTGCACGTCATGCCAACTTTTGCTGAAGTTCTGCTTCAGCTCATTCATCAGATTGATGCCCAGCTTTTGCTTTATTTCCACAAGGTGCTTCTCTTTGGCTGCTAAAACTTGGCGTAAAGTTGCAATTTCATCCTCTAGCTGTGTATAAGGAATAAAGCAAAGGAAAAGCTTGGATCATCACTCCTCGTTGTTCATGCCCATTAATTTTAAGTGGCACACTTTCCTCAAGTACAATAATGCCAGATAACTGAATTCCTACCAAATATATATTGCTTTTATATTCATTTAAAGAATGCCAAAAGTAATGAATATGACTATTCATGCAGAAATGATGGGGGTCAAATGGCTTATAATAATTTTAAAAAATAGGTATCACAATATGGCGAATCTCGGCAATGGTTATGTAAGGCTGGACTTTAGGGGTGCAAAGGTAGGGACCCACAGTCCTGGAATTCCTAAAGTATCAAGGAAAAAAAAGGCTGATCATTGATGATTTATAAGATTTTTATGCCACCAATTTCTTTATGGTTTATGGGGAATTACAGCAATTATACAACCATGATAAAAACAGGAGAAAACAATAAACCATCCATAGTAAAATATTTTAACATTTGCAATAAATCATTTAGACTGATATTTATAGCAACCGTACAATATCTTATCAGCCTATCACTCTGAATTAGTGATAACCCTAGTATAACAATCTTAGGATAGTTACAGAATATTCCATAATTTAAACAAAATAACGCAAAATGGCATTCAGTTCTCAAAGCCCAACCGTCACTGCTTTCCAGGCGATTGGAAAAATGGAGGGTAATTTAAGCTCCAAATGGATGTGATTTCTAGTGTCAGTGCTAGAACAGAAATGTGTAGTGTCCTGGTTAGCCCCAACTCCCATATCATGAAAACCTAGGATTACCAGAGTATCTCCCAAGAGGTTTGCACTGGACAGGGTGATTCTACTTGGAGAAGTGGTTCTGAAAATACCTTGTTGCCAAGCAATATTGATCTTTATAGTTCAGTAACTTGAACTGCACTACGCTCCTTGGTGATAGTAATTAGGTCACCATAATTTTTAGCTTCCAGATTATCTTCAAAGGCATCTCCATGTACATCACACTGCTGTAATTTAGACATATGATGATGAGGATTACAATTACTGCCTGAAGATGGGTAAAGATCCCCCTGTACATGGCCCGCTCAGGAGGATTGGTAACTTCAGAAAGACCCCACAAGGGAGTAATGATTGAGTTAAGACTTGACTGGAGCTGGCTGAGAACCTTGAACAACGAAGTAATAACTTTGGGTTAAAACTTTAATCTGCTATACTCCTGCCAGGAACTGGGATAAGACTTCCATGGCATCTCTTATTCATTCTGGCATAGTAGGAGTGAGTTATACCAAAGCTGGGGATCATCAGCATACAAATGATACCAAACTCCAAACTAACCAATGATGTCTCCCAGTGGGTTAATATAGATATTACATGCTTTGAATCCTGAAAGAGGAGAACTGAACCCTAAAGTATCCCAGAGTTGAGTGACTGCTGACCTACCTTTTTCTCTCTGAAAACCACTGACTAAAACTGCCCATGAAGGAAGAAGTAGAAGCACTATAAAACCCTAAATGTATGACAGGCAATCATGGGTGCATTCCAGCAACAATCATAGTCAATCATGGGTGCATTCCAGCAACAAAAAAAACCTACTGCCAAGGTTATTTTCATATCTCCAAAAAGGGTCTTGTTTTTTTTATAGAGTTGTCTAATTAGATTAAATGAAAAAAAATAAAGAGTCTGTCTTTCCAATACCTGGCCAGTTATGGCAAGTACAGCATATTTATCAGAGTACCAAAAAAGGAAAGAGAGAGGTGGAGTTGGTAGGAAGAAAGCAAAATGGTTCTAGAACAAGGGCAGTGTGGATGATAAGAATTCCAGAAGGTTATGTTGTGTAGTTTTCCCTGAAATCTGATAAAAGCCATGGGTATGCTTGAAAACATGGCGTTTTTCTGTGTCCCATAGATGCAAACTAAATTATAAGCAAAATAAATATAATTATTGTATGTACTCCTCCTCCTGTGCTATGACAACTCCAAATAAAATATCACTTTATGAGCCATGAAGTTCATAATTTTTTTAAAAAAATACTCCAAGACCCTGGGCCAGAGCATAGAAATAAAAACACCCCAAAACCCAATTAATCTTATATAATATCACAAAGCAAGATACACTGCCATTGTAGATCGTTACATTTACATGGAAATATAAAGTGCAATGCAAAATTTGAAATATCCTGCACTACATAGCTGTTCTAGCATTCCAGAATCAAATGGCTCCATGAGCTCAATAAACCATTTTCAAGTTCTAAATTTTCCTGGAATGGGTGAAATGGCATTGCATCTCTTCCAGTAAGGCTGAAACAAGCTGTTTCAAATCTAAAACTTTCCCATTCAAAACATTTGAGCACTTCTAGTATTATGATATCTGAATCTTATAGGGATTGAGCATATCTTCCTATGATACCTGACTTATCTATGCAAACATAGATAAAAGACAAAAGTGGATGGAACAGTTAAAAATCAATTGGCAAATAAACATAAAGCAGCCTGTTTGCCTGCTTATTATCCATAAGAGCATCCTGTAAAAATCCTGAAATGAGCAAAGATTCTGTAAATATCCAGAAATCATGCACTAGTGAACTATGGATTGTTATTCACAGGGATCTGTATATACACACATCTCTTAAACAATGGTTGGGAAATTTAGATAAGACAGTCTATAAACAATTTAAAAATGCATTATAAGTCAGTATGGTTAGAAGGAGGAGGTCTTAAAAAAGATCTAAGCTGAGAAATAATAGGGTGCCAAGTTTAGGCTTTTAATAAAATTAGCTGGTATAGATTGGAATTCTGCTTCATCTTCAGAGGTCTCCAAACTTGGCAACTTTAAAATTTGTGGACTTCAACACCCATAATTCTTCAGCCAGCTATGCTAGCTGGAGAATTCTGGGAGTTGAAGTCCATAAGTTTTAAAGTTGCCAATTTTGGGGACCCCTGATCTAGATATACCAGATCTGACCTGCAAAAATTTGGGTGAGCACTAACAATACCTTCAGAGTGCAATCTGCTGATCATTTAATTTCTGTAACCTGATCTGGTAGCCCCAACTTCATGTGTTATATTTATAATGTGGTAGAGTTGGTGAGGAGAAAGAGGAGCACATATGAGTATAATATTTACAGTGTTTATTACTTTGGGAGAATGTAGTCAGGTTTAATAAACATCTTTAACCACTGACTGTTGCAAAGTTACGGAGAATCATAGCTTCCAATGGAAGGGTAACAACTAATCTAAACAAGCAAAAATTCATTCACTCTTCAGAAAATTGGTAAACTTGGAGAAGTTTCAAGCATTTCTGAAAGCAAATCTCCAGGGCACTTCTTTGAAACAATGAAACACTATGGCATCTGAATGTTATGAATGTTCTAAGATCAGAATTGACCTAGATTCTATAATCACAAAGACTACAAAACAATTTCCACCGTGACATGTGCTTTAAGGATAAACTTAACCTCACTTCACGTCAGTGAGAAGGAAACACTTATACAACTAAACATAAAATTCTTTGTACTTGATTTTGACTCAATTTTATAAATAATAAACAGATACAAATAAATAACCAAGTGACCAGAAATGGATAATCCTGGTTCCTCAAACTAATGGATGTGACATGGCCCCACCAAAAGATATGCTGAATCTGACCAACTGAACTTTCAAGTGGCCAACTGAAGAACAATAGCTCTCGTTTCCCAATTCTGACAGACAATCTAGGACGGGTCGGCAACCTTAAACACTCAAAGAGCCACAAAGGTCCTAACCGGAAGCCCCCGTTCAATTCTGGAGCCGACTGGAAGTCTAGTTCCCCCACCATAGTGTCTACTCTTAGCACAGCGTCCGTTTTCCTCTGCTGACCGGAAGTCCGGTTTCCCCACCACAGTCTCCTCCTAGCATAACATCCTTTTTCCTTTTAGCGATTGGCAGCAGGGAGCCTCAGCAGAGGGATGAAAGAGCCGCATGCGGCTCCAGAGCCACAGATTGCTGACCCCTGATCTAGGTGAACAATATCATGGTTAATAGTGTCCAAGAGGATTGGGATAACCACATCCCTCTATCTCAGTTGCACCAAAATTTATCAACAAGAGCAACAACTGCAATTTTGATCCCATATCCAGACTTGAATCTAAATCCCAATGATCCAGATAATCTGCTTTAACCAGGATTACTTTTAATTATAATCCAATAGTTTCACACAACTAAGTGACCAAAAATAATAGAAAGTGAAAAAATTGTAAAAGTAATGAATTCTTTAAAAAAAATCATTTTATTTAAAATGATGTATAAAGGTCAAATAAAATCACCTTGATTACTTCAACTTTTAATTCTTCTCGCTCTTCTTCAGAAATCACATTGGTCAAGTCAACATCAGTGACGGTGTCTTCATCTGTCTCAGGGAATGTTTGTTTTTCTAATAGACCTTTGTAAATAATTCAGAAAAGAGTGAAAATATAAGGGCTCCTTCAAAGCAAGCTTGATTCCTGAGTCTTCCTGGACAAGTGAGAGTGGAGACACACAAATATAACACCAATAACAGATAGTCCTCAACTTACAGCCACAACTGAGCCCAAAATTTCTGCTGCTAAGAGAGACATTTGTTAAGTGAGTTTTGCCCCATTTTATTACCTTTCTTGCCATAGTTGTTAAGTGAATCACTGCAGTTGTTAAGTTAATAACATGGTTATTAAGTAAATCTGGCTTCCCCATTGACTTTGCTAGTCACAAGGTCACAAAACATGATCACATCAGTGGTGGTGTTCTACCGATTCGGCCCAGTTCTGGTGTACTGGTAGCACCGAAGATCAGCTGACAGAGAACTGGTTCACTCCGAGCCTGTCTGACACTCTGCAGTTGGGCCCACCTGTCCGCTCCTGCTCCTAGGTCTTTTTTAACCTCTCAGCTGTTTGGCATGGCAGAGTGGATTGCTGTGCTAAACAGCTGAGAGGCTCAGTAGCTTAGTTTTTACTGTTTTAATGTGTATGCAAAGTGTGTGTTTGGCACACACATGCGCAAAGTGCATCCCACCCCTGCTGCCACACCCACCGCCACACCCACAGAACTGGTGGTGGAAACTTTTTAATCCCACCACTGGATCACATGGGGAAAAATAATGGACATAAGTGTGAAAAAGGTCATAAGTCACTTTTCCCAGCACTGTTATAACTTTGAATAGTCACTAAATGAGCTGATGTCAGTCAAGGACTAGCTGTAAGGAATGATCATTAGTGTATAAATCTTGAAAGTATAAATAGGCATACAAGTCCAGCTTTCTGGAAATAAATTTATAACATGAATAGAAGCAATTTAAGTAATTTACAGTGTAGAGTGTGCTCCTTGTGTTAATAGAGAACATGAACAATTATATATACATTAGGCTGTCCAAGACTATCTAGTAAATATTCTCAAGCTCAGATAAGAATTATCCTTAGGATTCATATCCAGTTTTCCATGTAGACTGTCAACTCGTTTGATCTTATGACTTACTTTACTCAGATGATGAACTGGACATCTCTATTATAAAGAATATTTTATAATAGATGGCTTGAATATAGTTTTAAAAATAGAACCAAAGGTTCTTGAGACATGGTGAAAATGTATGAAGCTTAAAGATTGTAGACATGCTGTAATATATTGGATCCAAATTTTCTGAAGAGAACAGTACATGTTGACCAACTAACATATGTTCAATTCTTTGCTGCCAGGTCTAAAATTCATTTTTCTACATCACATACACAACCTTCCCTCATAGTCATTATTTTGTACAGCTCATTAATGTAGATCTTATGATGATTTAAATGGCACAAAATATATTCAAAAGAAATGACAAAGAAATGGAAGGAAACAGAGCATCTGTGTAATTTCCAAAGAGCTATTCAGTTCAGGTATGTTACAAAATGCCTTCACATTTCTTTGTGTATTCTGATTGAAATGTCAACCTTAAGGAAAATTAAAGCCAATTACATCATTTCCTGTCTTTATATGCAATAACATCATACAAAGTTACTGTACTTCTTGTTCTGTGCCTTAAATTAATATAGATCTTGTAAAGCAAACTGCTACTACATGGTTGTTTAATATTAAAAGTGATGTAGCAACATTATGCTTCTGAAAATACTTTTTCTGCACCACACCACTTTATTTTAATGATAAACCAGACACTGAGAACAGTAAGACCAATTCTCTGTAACTGATCAAACAGACTAATATTAACTGTATAAAAGAAACAGAATCAGGTCTTAAGAACAATTAAAAAGTTCAGAAAAGATAACACAATTCATTCTCAGAACATAGTTTTTTGAGGTGAGATGAGTCAGTATTATGATACACCAGCTCTTCTAAGGATAGAAACAAACTGTCTTCATGGTGCTATACCTTCATCTCTTTGCTGCCATATACCTTCATCTCTTTGCTGCCAGTCACCCAGTTTTTTGCAATAGCTTTGTAGTTTATGGCAAAGAAGTGAGTGCTGTCTTCTTGGGTCAGGAATAGCTAAATATGAACAAACTAATGCAGGAAGAATATTTCTATGACAAAGATCAGAATGATAAAATGAAGATAAAGGAATGTTTTTTCCCTAACAATGAATAATTGTAAAAGCTGTTTATTAAGAAAGAGCAGGAACCCAGATGCCTTCAATTATGCATTAATAGTTACTAAAAGAACCCATCAATCAGTTCTGGATTAAATAAAGACTGACTGATCCCTTGAAGTGATGAGTAGCATGCAGAAACTAATTTTGGGGCATGTAATGCAAATGTATGATGAAGTAGAAAAAGCAAGTATGATTTGCAAGTAGAAGAAAGGAAAGACAACAAGTATGGGTGGGATCAAGAGATCAGTGTTAACCCCTTAAAATATATACAGGTTTTCAGATCAGTTTGAGATGGTGGACATTGATTCTTACAATTGCCAATGGCTGAACCCAACTTGATGGCATCCAAATAATTAAATCAAGTAACAATACAAAAAGGAGTTTGAGACTTGTTACTAAATTTACTGGTTGCTCTTAGTGGAAGCCACATAGTAATGTAGCTGATTAGGACTGTAGCTCTAATTAAACAAAGCTTGCTGTACCAGTGAAGTAAACATTATACAGCAATATGAGGTAGGTTAACAGAAATGATATAAATATAATCAGTTCACATTTTTCCATGAAATACGAGAATCCAAAATTTAATTAGGCATTTTTTTGTGTGTGTTTTTTTTACTGCTAACTGCCTTGAGTATTATTCATTGGTAGAATGAAGACATACATCAAATAAATAAGAAATAAACATAGTCATTTATTATATTTCACTCGGCACTAATAGCTTTTAGATGCACAATAATTTCCTCTACAAGTATAAACTATATTGGATCAGGCCATGGGCATTTTAATCTAGCATTTTGTTTCTCATATTAGCCAATAGGTTCCTTCTTGGTTGTTTGCAAGCAGGAAATGGGAGACTTCTGCCATTTACCAGGACATACATTATTGCAAAAGCAACAAAAGAAAACGTGAGTTACAAGGACTGCATTTCTTGGTGAATGGGATTCTACTGAACAGAACCTCCCTTCTAATACAGCAGAAGGTAAAGCACTGACATGAGACAAAGTAAACACTTCGCAGTATGCTGGACAAATAAGGATAAATAAGCTGTTGGAAATATAAAGTAGTTTTGGACTGAAGCCTGCTACTGGGTGATTGGCTAAAGTGCCCAAATCCTTCTGCCACGTGATATTGAAAACTTTCCAAGAGTTTTTTCATGGCAGTTTTCTTTAAATCCAGGGGAAGTAGAAAAAAAGACAGGCTGTAACCACACAGGTCAGCTAAGAGTTTTCATTTTCCACTTTGATGAAAATTCATCAAGGAGAATTAGCAGGGTCAGTGAGCCATTAGAGAACAAAAAACTAGTAAAAGAGCAGGCAAATGTGGCCTCTCGCCTCCAAAGGGTTTCCATGCAGATTAAGGCATTTGAGACACAGTATGGGACCTTGAACAGTGCTCATAAAAACTTAGACTCAACAATGTCTTGGGGCTTGTAGTTCACTGTAAATGCACACAGAAGCACCATAGGACATCTGGGATATAATTTTAGCTTTTAAAAACTCAGCGGTGGCAAGCATGCATCTACCCACTTTAGAAAGGAAAAGGCCTAGAATTGCCTTAACACTGCTGTTAGCTTTGGAAAAGATGGATCTGATTTGTTCCCCCTAGTTTCTGCAGCTTGGGAAATTATGCCAAGGTATTTAAAAACTGGAACTTGTTCAGATTTATTATTTCTAATTTGCCACTGAGGTTAATGCAACTAAGCCTCCCAAGAAGAGCGTAGTGTTGGTTTTGGAGTCACTGGTTATAATGAAGCACAATATTCCATTAGAACTCTCCCACTAATTTAGCGTGGGAGAAGGGGTATCCACAGGGATGGTGTTTAAAAACTCAAGATGGCCATCACACCCATGCATCCAAAGCCCTGTTCCCTTTTCTACTTGCATTCTACATTTATAATTTATGTACATTTACATTTCACATCGTGATGTATGTAAAAACGGTGGATCTCTCTGATTGTGTAGTTGAGGCTGCCATCTTGATTTTTGTCTATGGAGATTCTCAGTGATCCAGGTCATGGTTGTCCAAAGGTGCTTTTTCAAGAGGCAATTTGACTGCTTTGTTTTTCTTCAAAAACATTTTGCTTTTCATCCATTAGGAATTCTGAACATTCAACTGCTAGAAAAGCAGATATATCCATTAAATGTTGGAACCCATTTCTAATGATCTTTTGTGAGGAAGTTACCTTTTTATTCTGGAAGAACCCTCCAATATTAGATGTATATCATATATCAAGTGGGCAGAAAGTGAAAATGATAAACAAACACCATTATGGTAAAGTCTGAATAAGAATTGTTCAAGAAACTGAGAACCCACAGTTCAAAATCTTTTCATCACTATTCAAAATCCTTCATAAAACTCTACAAAAGATTTCAGAAGAATGCCTGGTACTTCAAAATGCTTATTCCCTCAGGAGGTACTGAACTATACCATGTTTTATTTTCCTTGCAACCTTTTCATAACTCAGAACAATAAACATTAAAGAATCTTTTATAGGCTTTACATTAACACCTCATAATGTGTGGGAAGCATATTAGCAGGCAGCAGAAGCATTACATGAATTCTGGGTAATCCTTCTCAACAAGGTTTAACTATTGAAATAATTTTGGCAACTTTCTATTCAAAAAAGTGAACTGAAGGTGTCCTAATGGTCAATTATTTAGCTTAATAAATAGTAATTAAATACCACATAGAGCAGAACTCCAAAATAAAATTGTTATCACTCATAAATCTCTCTCATACCTGTGAATATGTTGAGAGGAAAAGCTTTATGAACCTGTCAGAGAAGGCATTCATTAAAAAATCTGCCCCATCCAGAAATCAGCAATTGATTTTTCTGGATGATCACTAGCATGTCAGTTTACACATCATAGTCTGTTAATAATGTGAGAAGTTGGCATCTAAACCATGCTCTTCCCACTCAAATCCACGAGTTTTAACACAAAGCTGAGAGCTGCAACTCACAATAACTCTGAAGTGGAATCAACACAGCGAAACAAGTTTCTTTCAATTATTTCAGAATAATTGCATGCATTATCAAAACATTCATGTTTAAACTGCATCTATTGTACACTTTTTCAGTCTGATGCAATGCACGTTTTACTTGGAAAGAAATCTCACTCAGCACAATGAGTTCTTGGTAGAAATATAATTATTCAACCATGATATTGTGCAAAATTACATTCAATCCCTTTATTAAAAACTAAACAATAATGAGCGAATATATTCCCTTAAAACAACTTCTCTTATTTTGCAAACTTGTTTCCAATGTTCATTTTTTTACTCACAAGATGGCAGTGTGGAATTATCCCTATAATAAATTCATTGGCAGAATATTATACAATTAGTTTCTTTCAGAAATATTCAGGCATGTATGCAAAATGGCAAATGGCACTGGCTAAAATTTATTGGATTTTCTCTAAGGACATGATACTCTTTAAAAAAAGAGTAATATAAAAAGGCATCCTCGATTATTTCTTAGGTTTAGAAAATGATATTGATGTAACTAATGGAGTCTCTGTAGAAGAAGAGAAGAAGAGGGTCTCTGTAATAAGACAGAGGTCATTACTTAGCAAATTCTCCATGGAAGAGTTCTTAATTTAACTAGATCTCTCTCCACTAATAAGAGGCATTTATTAACAAAATGCAGGCATAAAATAAGGGCTGTAAACAGAAACAGCAAACATAAGCTCTGGTCCATAAAGTTCACAGACCAAAAAGAAGCAAGTGGTACAAGGAACCAAGATTTTAAGAGAGATTCTGACATTTACTTTTTATTGCCAAACCTGTTACACAGCAATCGCAAAACTCCTTAAGAGACAGTGCTGTAATTAGCTCTTATGGAAACAATTGTGTTTAATACACCAAAATTGTATTCCATTGCGGGAAGAGGGGGGCGCGAAACTTAGAAGGTAATTTGAAAGTAAGGGCCTTTCCGACGCTCATAGAAAACGCTCGTCGATTTCTATTCACCAAATCGACAAAGGAGTTTTGCTTTGCAACTGGCAAAAACGCTAATAATGCAAAATGATAAAGAAGAAAATTAGAGGTTTTTTTTTTTTTTTTAAACTTTTACTGTATTTGAATGCACGTTTTAAGGATACACCTGAGCCTTTTCAGGGGAAAACTGTCATGGGAGAGAATCTATATTTACCAGGCTGCGCCTCTTGACGGGAGAGTAAAAGTTACGGAGAACGCCACCTCAGGGCTTTTTGCTACACGGCGCCAAACGAGAGCATGGTCTTGTTGCCGAAAAAACCGGCATTACGTTGGACTTAAAGAGACCCAGAAGAACAACATCTTAGTAGTTTTTCTCATCAGGAGACCGCTTAGGGTTCAAGCTAAGTAGTTCTTTGGCAAAAGCAACCGACTGAGCCATGCAGGATTCTCAACTTTCTTTTAAAAAAATCCTCAGCTTTAAGCTATTCAAGGGACCTCACTCCAAAAAAATAAATAAAATAAATAAAATAAAGTATCTTAAAATAAAACTTCGAAGGTTCTACTTCCGAACCTTCGAAGCTCCGCAGAAAAGAAGCACTGGTTTATTCTAGAACGCCGTGCCTTTCTCTCTCATCTATTACGACGAGGATTATTCTGCAAGAGGAACGAACCTTTTTCAGAACTTTCTCTGCTTGTTGCAACCAGAGTAAGAGGTCTAAGCTTTGGGTGACCAGCCTGAGGATTGCCACCCACTCCTCCTTCCTAAAAAAAAAAAAAAAACCAAAACCGAGACGGAATCGAATTGTGGAGGGGGGAGAAAGAAGAGACTGGAAATCTCTGACAAGAATGGAAACAAACGCACGCGGCTTCCCCAGAAGGTCCAGCTAAGCCACGCACCTTGCGCCTGTGTTTCCATTGTCCCGCCAGCGCGTCTCACCGCGGAGAAGACCAGCGGAGGGATCCGCGTCTAAAAACGCGCCCGCTTCGACGCCGCGATTGCTGCTTTCTGGTGATCCTCGGCAGCTCCGGCTTCGATGCTCTTTGCCCGTGCTCTTCTGAGACAGCGCCACCTGTCGTCTTTTGGTCCGCTCTGCTACATCACCTCTGCTTTCTCCCCCTCCCTCCCCCAAAGGCGGACGCTTTTGAGGGGAAGGTACCGTCACACGTTTCGGGAAAGGAAATATCTGTTTCTTCCTTTGATGCCGGATTTAGGCATGAAGCTACAATTTAGAGGTTTGCAATCTGAAGGGGCTCACAACATTTCAGGGTTGAGTGCTTTTCTCTCTCTCTCTTTTTTGGCTTGTACAATTTAGTGTGGCTTTTTATATGTGTATTGTAAGAAACCCGAAGCCCACATTTTCTCTTGTTTTCGAGATTACAATGAACAGAACTTTTGAGAGCAGATCCCAGGGGGAAAAATGTATTTTTCCGTTTTCCCCTTGTATTAGGTACATGTTTTCTAACTTCTGAGATAACATATGTAACACTTCTTCTGTCTAGTCAGATGCTATTAAAGCTAAGACCAAGAAGGTTAAGAAACCTTTCAAGTTACAAAATTTATATAGTGTCATAATTTTCTTTTCATAGCTTGCTTTCTTTCTAAGCTACCCAACGTATTTTCACTTTAGGATCTGAAATTACTTAAATTTGCTCACAAATCAGCTTTAAATCTGAATTTACCCATGAATTATGAATGGCTTTCTTGGATGAATTGACCCTTTTTTATAGTTTGTAGTTTTCTCTGTGCCAGAAGTTGTTTTAGAAAGAAAGATTGGGGATGAGTTTCCCATACTTAGAAATAAGATGCAAATTACCAACTGCTGAAGGATCATTGAAGACTGTGAGTGCAACTTAGTGCAACACTGATGGAAAATTAGATCCAAAGACTTGGAAATTTATTTACAAACACACCCCACAACACACAAAAACAAAGGCAACTTAAAATAGAAAGATAACAAAAGACAAGAACAAAAAGAATCGAACCCACACAACCCAATTATTCTTGCCAAAGGCCCAGGTCTTCAAAGTTTTTTAAAACCCTAGCAGTGTTGGCACCCATCTGGATACTAGGAACCACACTTTGACATGTTTTGAACAATGGCATATAGATCTTTATTTTAAAGAAGGAGAAACAGAAAATATCTGATCAACCTCTGTGCTTCAGCACAAACATATATTGTAATCTGAAATGAAAAAAAATGTGTTTCAAATTGGCTGTGTAAGTGAACTGTTTTTTGAGTGAAAGAAATCACCACTTTAAAAAAGAATCTTAACATGATACACTTAAGACCAGATGACATACAATCATTTAAACAAAGGTTACCAAATTTAAATTTCTGTACAATGGTTTAAAATCTTATAAAGTTGAGGATGCAGGGTATCACCTGTTATCCTGCAATGCAGTAGAGTACATTTGCTTCTGCTTTTCTGCTTTAACAGTATTAATATTTTAAAAATCTATTAAATGAGAGATATTCTTAGTGCAATCTGTTTCTTGGGAGCCAAACCCACTGAATTCTATGAAATATTGTCCTTTGGTAAAAGAACAATTTCATGCCACAAAATAAATTGTGCCCTGGCAATTATAATTATTTTTAAATATGTTCTAAATTACTGTTCCACCAGTAATAATTAAATGTATAAATTTTTGCAAGGTGAGTAAGTATAGATCATGCTTAAGTTTATACAATTGCTTTTGAAGATTACAATTTCAAAGTCATCTTATTTCAGCCTTGCAAGATAGCCCAGACAAGAAGCATACCAGAAATACCAACTCCATCTTTATTATAATGTTAAATTTACAGAATCTTGTGAGCCTGAACATACATCACCCTCCCTCTTCTCTTTACACCTCAAGAAACTAGAAAGAGTCCTTCCCAAAATTTGCCATGCCCCATTTCTTCTGAGGGCCCAGCTGCTTCTTATCTGACTATTGCTTATTTGACTATATCAAGACTCATCTATCTGTGGGTCTTCCTCCTATCTCCCAAAGTCATTCCCATATACTACTGCCTTCCTTCTTCCTTCTATGTACAGTCATGATTGAAAGAATAATTCACATGATTAAATTGACATGATTCAAGAAGGGTCTATGAAATCATACATAATTTAACATTACTCATATGAAATCAAATTAACACATCTCAATTATTCTTTTCCTATTCTGTCAATAATATTCACCATTGAATTGCTGAGTTTCATCATGGTATTTGCCATTTTGGAGACTTTGTCCCATTTTTCTGATTGAAGAGATTGATGTAATGTATGCTTCATTTTTAATGCTGAAATTGCTTCATCCAGGCCCAGCATCTTATTTGATGCTTCCAGTAGACTGTTTTCTTTTCCAGCAAGCTGAAGATAGAAAAATGTGAAAATTATGTAAAAAGATATTGTTCATAAGGCCAAACTACTTTACCCAGCCAAATGAAAGGGCATAAAGTGCCTGCACTATATTTCTGAATTGTTATAGGAAATGAGATTATATTTACAGATAAAATTAATTTTGATAAAAGGATGAAATGTGAACAGTACAAAAGCTTCAAATACAATACAAAATACTAGTTTTGTTTTTAAGCACTCATACCTTTATCTATTTGGGCAGACTGTGAAATATTTGACATAATAATAGATCCTGCATCAATTCCTCTGTGATTTTAGTATTTTCATGCAATTTCAGCATACCATTATCTACTTACTATAGCCTTTTAAGTGGAATTGTATAAAGTATGTCATGCCACAACATATCCAGATTATTTATAGTGTGTACATGTGAATGCAAGTGTATTTGATTACAGATGTTCTTTATTACTGTACCCACAATTTCCTTCCACAAATGATAAAAGAAATCACCTGTTTTTTTAGATTAGATGCAAAATCAATTAGCAGAGAATTCTCTCTTTTTAGTTCAATGTTGTCGTCTTCTTCTTTTTCTAGCATAGCTCTAACTTCAGCTATTCGGCTACTCAGTGTTGCAATATTTAAATCAACAGTTGTGCTTCTTTTTTCTAACAGGCTAATCTAGAATAAACCAGCAACCATAAACAATAAAAACCAGCGAGCAGAAATTTAAAAGAAATACATATGAATATAAAAATGCTTTAATTGTTTAGTTGATATACATCACTACATCAACTGAGCAAGAAAATTATAAGGGAAAACCCAGAGAAAATCAATAAAAAACTTGGATGAGCAACCTCCCTATCTCTCTGATGCCCTCAGAAGGCCTGCCTCCTGCTTCCCCCTTTCCATCAAAGGCCTTGAATATTGATCATGAGTATAAATGGACCTTCTGAAGATCAAAAGTTATTGACTAAGTATCAGAAACAAGCAATCAGTGAAGAATATAATATTGGCTTGCGGTTGAACTTTAAAGGAGAACTAGATGTTTTCAAGCATCTGGCTTCTTTATAACACAAAAGCAAAGGAAAATTCAGCAGCAGGAAGTGAATGTTTTGACTCAGTTGCACCCATCTGTTATTCTCTAAAAATGTTTCTAATTGCTTTAAAAGGATTTTGTTTAAAAATGAACCTGGATGACGAAGCAGTTAGTACAGGATTTGATATGCACAGATTGTCACTGAACTAAGTGCTGGGTTATCTTTACACTTTATCTTTAAAAGTGTAACTAGTATGCATCATGTTCCTGTATTACAATTATACATGCAAATATAGAATAAGGATCTGATTCGTTAACCATTACGTTCAAACTGGGTCTGTTTTATAACACATCCAATTAGTGATCATTTAGCATAATAGCCGTTTAGCTGGTAGCAGCAAAATGTCAGGCAGCCATTTCCCATCACACTGAAGTATTACTAAAGACACAAGACATGATTCCTCTGCTGTACTCTACACAAATAAGTAAGGAATTGATTGGTAGTCGTGTAAGTCATACACAAGATCACAGACATGTTGTTGTGATATCAGAACTAGCCTAGTATTGATTTTACGATTTTTTAACAGCCATTTAGTCATTCAACCTTATCTTCAAGTTCCTGGAATGTGCTCATTTCTTGCTTCAGAAGGTCTTGGTGTGTCTTAATCTCACGTTGCAGTTGCTCTTCCTGATCTTTCACTGTCAGAAATTGAGCAATGCTCATTGAATGGGTTGTATACATCTCTTCCTTGAGAACTCTTTCCTACAACAAGGAAATATGAGCTATTTATGAAGTTTCAAAGGAAACATGTATATTTTTTTAAAGCACACAAGTCAACCCAAGATATTTAGAGCTATATAAAATAATGGAGCCCTGCAGCAGGTATTTTTCTGTGTTAGATGAAGTTTTGAGATTGTAATCCAGAAAAAAGAGATGGGTGATATGCATTGATGGATGAAAATAAAGCAAGGGAGTACAGGAAAAGTGATTGAACCATTTTAGAAACCCAAGAATAAATGAGAATCATGAAAGAGGTTGGATTCTTTTGAATAGTTCGATCATATTTTATATATATATATATATATATATGTTTTCTTAAGTTTTCGCGGGTACTTACATGTATGGTGTTCGGCTTGGTTCGGGTATTTTCCCACGTCATTGTAGTTGTTCTTTTAAAGTTGTAGCAACGTTTCAGCAGAATCTCATCTGCCATCATCAGGCTTCTGTATTGTGTCCGTCTGTGAGTCAGACTTTTACAGTGGTTTCAGATTTGAATTTGGGGCAGCCTATTGCTGTGCCAGAATGGTTTTTTCTTCATCCTGATTGGTTGGGAGTCTTGGTCTGTGTTTATTGGTCTCGGAGTTTGCTGTGTTCTGCTTGAG